GGGGGGGGGGTCAGAAAAGTTTCTACTTTTATGAGGGGGGAGACACAAAAAGTTTGCTTTCAGTCTGGAGGGGGGGGTCAAAAAAGTTTTCAATCCTTATTTTCCCCATTTCCCAACCACCCCCTCCCCATAAATAATGACCACTCCCTTACAAATGTATTAAAAAAAATTCAAAAGTATACATTTCGGAAGTTTGTTTTCGATACATATGTATGACTACAAAGTACAATGTGTTTCAAAAATTATATTTTCAGTGTTTAATACAATAATTATAATCCATACAAACAACAAAGTGATGCCTATGTTGGTTTTGTCTAAATGTTGTTTTCCACCACTGTAGTTAGTTTAGAATTAAATTTCACATTAAATTTTAAGAAACCGAGACATTAGTTCATCATGGAAGTAAGTAAACATCATGCAAAAATACATGAAATGTGATTCAATTGTCCTGGGGTGGACGGTGTGGTTAATTAGTACATCAGGGTTGGACCAAGACTCGGCCCTCTTTGGGTGCCATAATTGCTGTTAGCAAAAAATCATCTTTGGATTTAATTTGGGAGCATGTCTCATAAAATTTAGGTCATTAATTGATTTAGTAATCACTCCCTTTCCAATAATAGTGATTGTATTGGGATACCAGGGGGGAGGTAGGGGTTTAACTTTCGGTTTCCCCTGAGGAATGTATGATATTTTTGTGGAATGACGCAGTGTATATATGTGTGTCTTTGTAATAAATTCTGGTTGAGTAATGCCATACACCCTCCAATAAGATAGGTATTGTTGAACGGGGGAGGGGGCTTTTAGACTAAATAGGAATGAACATTGGTTGGCGGATGGAACACAGTAGCAAATGCAGGGGGTACCTTACTGAAGGGTTTAAATCAAATTGAACAGTATTTGATGGTTCTTGTATTCAATACCTAAATACAGGCACCTCTATCACATTTTATAAAGAAAACATGGTGATTAACCAACTTGTAATATATAAAAATTATTATGCATATTTGAGAAATAATACTGATTTAATTAATGGAGAATAAGTATTCATTTCAGCTCCACTTTATAAACTGTTACAGTTCATTTTGTTGTTTGTTTTGTTAAAAAAACTTGTGCGCTTAATTTATATTACAGGTGTATGTACTACAGAATACCGCACAAATTTACATGTTCCATCTTTTGTCAAATGTGTATAACATAGCGTGTTAAATATTTTTTAGTGTAGTTTCTAATTATTTTTTTCTTCTTGTGGGGTCTTGTGTTAGATTTGGCAGATTCTATTATTTTTTAAATCGGACATACTGTGGATAAAATCCTAATGTACCGCATCATACCAGTGTGGCAATAAGTAAGAAACGGTTTATCACATTATACGAGGATTTGGTGTGTCATGTTGTGTGATAACACTGTACTGTCAGATATTGCTAACTTAATTTAGTGGAAGGTCTCGGAAGGTATAAGTACTAAAATCACTACAGAATATCGGTGGTATGAGTTTTTTATGGTAAATTTGATCACTCGGTGGGATTCCTGAATAGTAAAAGTGTTGTATCGCTTAGAAAAACTGTTAATGAATGTAAATTTTGTTCGTTTGTGAACTTATTTTCAAACTTTCTGATTTTACAGGCATTAAGCAAAAAAAGGTGCCAAAAATAAGGAATTTTATTTGTTGTTTATCCCGATTATTTTTAAGAATTTTATGAAAATGTCCATTTTTCATTTTCATATGACCACTCAGACTCAAGCTAATATATATTCACAAAAATAAAGTATATAGCATGTTTCCTTCAAATTTTTTAAGAGAAATTAAAAAACTGGTATTCTGTGGTACTGTGATATTCTGTGGTTAACATACACCTGTACACGTAAAAGAGTAGTATGAAAAACTCTTTACAGGTATTACTAACAGATTGTACACCTTGGAGCTTGGTCATTGCAAATGTTTTCCAGTCAGTTTAACAATTATCATGTGAAAACAAAGTTAACATAAGGAGCAATTTGCATAAAACATGAAATTACGCAATCCAAGATGGCCGCCAACTATAAAAAAACTTTACATACAATTGACTCGATTTGTGACTTAATGTGCAAGTTTCAGGCTTGGCATACATAAAAAAAACAATCAGCAATGCATAAGCTCACTATGGTGTAAAATTCATCTGGTTCCCCGAGGTGCGTATTCAAAATCGATTTCTAAACACATTTTTGGCACTTGGCCCATGGCCTAGATGGTAGATAGGCCATTAACCTTACACAAACTCAAAAAAATATGCACAGAGAACACCTACCTTATTGCTTTTCTCTGGCAAATAAATAATTTAATCTTTTATTTCTCATTCTTTAGCGATTTTACTGGCAAATAAACTGAAAATCACTCTGACTAGCCATTTTGAAGACCACGTGACTGTGTTTGTTTTCCAGCAAATTTAATAACATTGCTCTAAATCTTAACTCGGTCATGAGCATCGGAGACTGGGGAGCAAAAACGACATACTCTGAGTGATGTTATTTAATTTCAAAATGGCGCGTGTTTGTTTGTTAAACTTTATTGAGTACAAATTAATTCAACAATTATTCATCTAACATACAATTAAAGAGCTGTACTCAAACGGACAAGGCACAAACTGGACGTAAAGTCCATTGCATGGTGCCCCTCCTCTTCCTAACATAAACCTTTTAATTAATTCACAGTATACTGTACAGGGTGTCCCCCCCAAAAAAAACTAAACCACTGAAACAACGCACTGCCAGAATCCGAACGCCTCAGCACCAACTCAACGCAAAGATACGTAAATATGATCGACATGATGCATATAGATGTTTATTTTTGTTCGTCCAAGAACTGAAAATACAAATGCAATTTGTGAAAAAACTGCGGGTCTACGGAGCGGCAACTTTTCGGATTTGAATTTAGCGTGTTCGAAAATGTTAGTTACCGTAAAAATTTTTCAGGTTGACGACATAATTAATGAAAGTGAACGATATCGGGTCACGGCAAACGGCCTAATGGTGGTATTTCTGTCTTCATAGCATGTACTGAACCGAAGATATGAAATTTCTAGCCGTCAACCTCTCGAGGAAGACCTCGCAAAGAGTTTTACTATTTAGTAAACTGCCCATCACTTTTAAAACAGCAAGAAGATAAAGACAACGTGTACGGGTGAGTTATCCATGAAATAAATAGTTGGTTTACAAAATGAATTCCGTCTTTGTGAATAAAAATTAGTTATAAATAATCTCTCCTGTATGTGTTAAATACTACATGTAGGGATTTCCCCTGGCTGAGTATATTCCTTCTCTTTTGTATGGCTGCAGGGACGTCGCAAAGCCATCAACATTGGGGAGGGAGGGGGTGTCCTCATGTTTTGACCAACATTTCTTAGGATTTTGACCAAGTCGGAAAAACGTTTCCCACCTGAAAATGTTGTCGACGGGGGGGCGGGGGGGGTAACATAAGCATAGTCAAAAAAAATTCCAGACTACCATAAGCATTGTCAAAAAAATTTTCCGGACCAAAATAAGCAAATTCAAAATTTTTGGACCAAGATGGTCAAAACTTCCAATTTTTTCATCGCAAACGTTACAAAAGCTTTAAAATTTTTAAAATCGAGAAACCATTTATAACTTTGAACAACTTCGACCATCTTTTATCCCAAACTTTCACCAAATTTTTCCCAGTTTTACTTCAAATCAGTTCCATTTTCACCAACTTTGGGCAAATATTAGTTCCATTTTGACCAACTTTGACCAAGGTTTGAATTTTTTGGGGGGGGGGGTTACACCCCCCTTTAGCGACGTCCCTGTATGGCTGTTTGTGATTACTCGAGTCTTGTCACTGGGTCATGTGGTGCCAGCAACTCTAATCCAGCCGATTCAGAATGCGTTCTTCTTAATGATTGTGATAAAAGAAATCAAGGGACACCTGAGGTCGCACAATTCTAGGATTCCAGTTTGAGAACAGAATCTTGTCTTCCACCTGCACGAGCCGATTAGTTCACTATTTTCTATCTGACATATACTTTTGATCCAATTTCAATTAAATTTATCCAACCATTTCTGGATGGTACATTTACAACACAGGCAGTACTCAGGCCAAAGCATTCCGGGGCCCCCTCTCGGGAAAGTTGGGCCCCCTTTCAAGTTGACTTTTTTGGCCTGAGAACTGCCTGAGTGTTCTAGATGTATCTTCCAGAAATGGTTAGATAAATGTATCATCCAGAAATGGTTGGATAAAAAGTATATGTCAGATAACGCGTAACCACAAACAGCCATACAAAAGAGAAGAAATATACCGGGGGAAATCCCTACATGTAGCTTAACACATACAGGAGAGATTATGTATAACTCATTAATTTTATCCACGAAGACGGAATTCATTTTGTAAATCAACTATTTATTTCATGGATAACTCACACGTACACGTTGTCTTGACTTTATCATCTTCTTGCTGTTTTAAAAATAAAAGTGATGGCCAGTTAAAACTACTAAATAAGTAACAGGGCATAGAAGTTTGGTCTGAAGTTTGACCAAAGTTATTGAGCAAGAACAAAATAATCAAATATACAACTGTAATAAATATTACCAAATCATAAATCAACAGAGGGTTGATTTATCAACAGAGGGTTGATTTATCAACAGAGGGTTGATTTATCAGCAAATCAACAGACGGTTGTTTAAAAATAGAAAAGACACCTTTTGGCATGACATCACGGTGAAAGAATCCAGCTTTAATATTAATTAAATTAATTACTGTAAGTAAACGAATTACAATTTCAACGTAAACTGACCTATGTTTTTGACAAAAAGCGCGTGCACTTATTTATGTTCGAAAAGTTATAAGCACGACGAGTCGTGAAAGAACACATGTTTATGGGAAGGGGAGAGAAAATATACTTGCTATACTTATAGCATAGCGTGGTTATATCTCAAAACCTATAAAAAATACTTTTAAAAAACGTGTGAATACGATCAGATCATTCCGAACTTCAAAGTATAAATCAATTCCGTGATCAAATCAGGCGTACAATCGAAAATACGTAAATTGATACATCACAAAAGCCATGTCAACAATATATTTTCTATTACACTCCTGCGAAGCGACCCACTATCTCGTCACGTGACATGAATAAAAAGAGAACAATAACATATTTGTCACCTGGTCCAGCTAGCCTAACCATCCTCCTTCTATTAGCCGTGGTAGAATATATGCAAATTAGCCCGAAAAAGCTCCTTGCAAGTCGAGAGTAGAACTGCGTATATCTTCTTAATATAATGCCACACATTGTTGTGGCCATGTTGTAGATCCAAATTCTGAAAATACGTAGTGGTGGTGTACCGAAAAAATCAGCGAAAAAATTAGAACTGCAAAATTAAGATTGTCATGAAGCATCACGTGTTTGACTGGAGATTAGATATCTAACGCTAAAAGTTGTAAATTATGATAGACTCTTAATCTGCATATTGGTCCAAGAATAAAGGTGTGATTGGGTGGAGGAAAGGTCAGAAAAACTTGATTTTGTGTGGGGGAGCTATGTCATGGTAGGCGGCGTTCCCCAAATAATTTTTAGCTGGCAAAGTTTTTTACCTACTGTTTCAAAACATGCATGTAACTTGGATTCATGAATATTCTCCATTCAATTTTGATTCTCCCACATTAACATCTTTTTCAGTGTTTCGCTCGTCTCCCAGAAAATATTTATATTTTTGACAGCATTTATGGCATTTTCTGGAACATACACAACGAAAACAAGGAAACTGTTTTAAGGTTGTATTTTCGTTAATTTGGTGACTGAAGATTTGTGTTTTAATATTAAAGAATCACATTCGACCGTCATGCTTTGCGCGCTAGGTGAATGTTTACATATACGGGGAGCTAAAACTAGTGTTAATTTAACACTTTTACCCGCTGGTGTTTTCATGAAATCCAGATCCCTGCCCTATCGCCTGCTATGTTCATGCAGTTTGTCCATGCTTTGATGGAGTAAGATTTTGGCAAACTTGCTATGGGAAAGCCCCTGTATTCTCAGGCTTTTTTCCTTTCAGTCCAATGGACGGTTGTTCAAATATTGTTGAACTGGTCTACAATATTCTTTTGGTATACCTTCGCTTGTTAGTCTTCCACGAACGGGAAGTACAGAAGTCATGATTTGCCATCTACCCTATAAATTGAGAAAACTGTCGCGTCTAAAGGAAAAAACGCACGCCAAAATCTCAATCAACTATCTATTAACATGTTCCAACTATGAAAAATAT